GAAGACCAAAGTTCGTGCTACACTTAATAATTCTATTGAGTCGAAATGTCAAGTTTACATCTTCATAACAATACTATTGTATCTAGTGATATTTTCATTTTCATCAACCCATTTGCAGAGAGTTTGCTTGATAGCCTATAGTTGCCTGATCTCCCCAGTAAATGTCATTTAATTGTTTAATCTTAAAATGACCTATCACATGATAGTTTGCATTTCCACCATCAGAGGTGAACAGTTAACATTTAAACTTGGCTTCATCAAAAGATTCTTCTTGCCTTGGAGGATACACTTGACTATAAATCCCCATCAAAGGGGGAAAATCAATTAAAATGAGGAGAAATGACTGCAAGAATAGAAATCCTGCCAGACGTTAGTTTGCATAATTACTGATATTTTCAATGGGTGTTGTCACTTGGAAAATATTAACCAAACACTGTTTTTCATTTATTAATGTATTTAAGTTCTATCCTCACAAAAAAGTTTTAAGTTTTCTTTTTCATTTTATGTTTGTTTTGTTTTTGGCGTTTGAAAGACTGTTTCTGTTACAGAAAGAAGCTGGAAATTAGTTCCAAGTTTGAACAGTTCAATCATTTAATAGTGTTATATTTTTGGATGATTTTGAAGAAAAATTTATAGGGGAGCTGTACTTGAATTAACAACTTGGAAATTTAACTCTGACATGTAAAATAAATAAAAACTTGCACTATTTAAATGACTCAAGGAAGAATGCAATCAAAATTGATTACACCAGTAATAAAATAAATAAAATTCACAAAAGGTTGTGAACTCTCCTCAAGATCCACAAATACATAGACACAAGAGAATTGTTTTGTAATTGTATAGCCAGAAACAATTCATTTGTTTTGATTGTTAATGTTTGTTTTTGAATCTCTTCATTATAAGACAACTTGAATAACAGAAGTTTTTGATTGTTTAAGTATTTTATATATATATATATATATATATATATATATATATATATATATATAAAGCTTTTAAAGGTTTTCACAAGCTGCAGCTGTAAAAATTCGGTGAATTTTCAAAACTCCAAGTTGGATAAGTCAATTAGGTTTAACTGTTTATAGTTGAATATGACCAAATACAGGCTTACTTGAGGAACTAAATTTTTTGAATTTTACCTTTTTGAATTGTAGTGCAGTAGACAAGCAAATGACATTTGTTTAGCTATCTCTAGCTCAGTTTCAGCTCATGTCCAGATGAAATTAATTAAATTCTGGTGCTCAAGCACAGTCTCCATCTGAAAGCATGTTATTTGCAAACAAACAGATAAATAAAAAGGAAACAGCTCTTGAGAATATTTTAAAACAAGTATTCAACATACAGATGAAATTTAAAAAAAAAAAAAAAAATTACAAAAATAATCTTTTAGAAAAAGTTTCTTCAGAAACCAATTTAGTTACATATATAACTCGGCTCTCTCTTCTATGTACCATGTCCCTTCAGAATGAAGGCGATCATCGCTCTCCACAACTTTCTATTCTTTGTCGCTCTCAGTATAGATTGTCTTTTTGCTATATCTCCTAATCTCCTAATTTTTTAGCTACATTACACACTGCTGTGTACCTTCTTGCCTTCAATATGTCCTATAGTATCAAATTTTCTAAACCCTCTTTTTGTGTTATGTGCCCTAGAAATTTCAACTCTTTCTACTGTATGTCTTTTTGTTTCCTTTTTTCTCTAAAATTGTTGTTCATATGTTCACTCTATAGAATTCTCAACATCCTTCTGTGGAACAACATTTTTGTTGCCTCAAGTATCCTTTTGTGATATCTAATATATATATATATATATATATATATATATATATATATATATATATAGATAGAGAGAGAGACTTGCAATATAATACAATGACTGTACAAAAGTTACCTTCAGAAGTAGCAAAGTTGGCACTATTTCAAAATGGGTGTGTTGGAATTATGTGCTCAGTGTGAGAAAGAGAAAAAAATTTTCGTCCTTGAAATGTGAGAAGGAAACAAAATAATATTTTTTCTTCACCATATTTTCTGGCAACTGTCCCATGAAGTCCAATTTCTCTATTGGCAGACATATCTTGAACGTGCAAAAAGCAACATGGCAACCTGAGTTTTATATACAATTGTTCTCCTACCCACTCTCATCCATAGTTTGGTTAATAGATTTTGACTCTGGCTACTCCTCACTAAGGGACATTAGTGGTACAACCTTTGCAAATAGAATTGGCCTCAAGTATTCTAGACATTGTATCATTTAAATGTCTTCAGTTAATGTTTCCCTCGAGTTCTTAACCTTTAATCTTTGGCTAATTCTCTTATTTTGTAGAACAATTGTAAAGTTATTCAGAAATTACTTTCTATTTGGTTGACCTTTTGATAATAGATAAGCAAGAAATTAACATTTTCATTTTGTTTTTGAATCGGCAGGAATTTTAAATTAATTTTGACTGAAATAAGGTGGACTGCAAACATTGTAGAGCTGATTTCATACAATCATAATGGTTTATTTAAATACAGAAAAAAGAGCCTGCCATCTAAAAGCTTCAGAATCTTTCTGATAAAGCACAGACAAAAGAAAAATCTTAGATATTTACCATACAAAGAAATGTCTCTTGCTATAATGATATATTGAAGAAAACAGAACAGTGGTTAGCTTTATTGATGGTTCATTGATATATTCTGGAATAATTCCAAGTTGTTAATTGCATAAACATTGAACTGAAAAATGTCTTTTTAGATCTGCATTTGGTTGATTTATTTCTGTTTGCATTTAAGTTTTATACTGTTCAAACGTGATTGCTTGAAAATGTCTTTATACAAGGAGTGGCTATTAAATTGCAACACTGCTTCAGTTGAACCACAGTGCATTTGCACAAAGCAAATGCTATACATTGATCAATGCGAAAGTATAAACATTTTCTGAAAACTTTAGTCTCCCCCCACTTTTATTTTCAGCTTGCTCTTCTGCAATTCTTAAAGTAAACATGTTTTTCTTACATGTTGTAAAGATGGTTAATTGAAAAAAAGAAAAAGAAAAAATATTAAGCATCAATTTCAATTTTTTTAATTAAATTGAACAAAATATCTAAGACACTTTCTGCAATCATTTTGATGCTAAGTCATCAATCATTTCAAAAGCTTTTATTTTTCATGTTGGGTATTTATTTTTTTCTTAATTTTCTCACTGTTTCTTGACATGCATAGGCATCTACAACATTCATCATCTTTTGACATTCTCATGACCTTCACAAAATATCATCTGCCTTTCAAACAAGTCAGTGTGATATGTGTTCTACCCCATAAACTTGTTATACAAAAAAATGTGACAAGTAATTTTAGTTTTATCCAAAATTTCAAATTGATACATTGTTTGATTTTTGAACTGACCCCATTTTGTATGCTTCACATTTACATGTTCCCTGAAGAAGAGTAAAATGAAATTAATTACATCTGACTTGTCCTTTAATTATACAAATGTGGTTGATGGTGACATGCTGATAACAATTTAAAAATCTAATTTATTCAGTATTCACAAAGTATTGCATTAAACAGTTAAAGTTTATCAATTAAGTGTGTGTGTGTATATATATATATATATATATATATATATATATCAATTTTTGACAGTTGGAATGTTCATGAAAGTAGATTTGTTTAGAAATATATTCAATGATGCATTTCACCATTTTAAAGCTTCAATAGATCCAGAAAGCAAAAGAATGAAATGCATGTATGTGTATTTGTGCATGTTTAAATAATGAAATCTTATTCTCTAAGCTGGCATTTCTCATGATTAAAAAAGAAAATGAGTGACTTTAAAAAAAAAAAAAAAAAAAAATTCATTAACATTTATTTTCTTTACTTTCAGTTCAAGTCAAAAGATATAATCCTTTAGAATAGGTAGAAAGTAAGATTTGTTTGTTTTTTTTTCTATAAGATTTCAGTATTTACACATACACACATTTCATTCTTTCACTTTTCAGATCTGATAAAGCCTTAAATGATGAAATGCATTATCAGATATATTTCTAAATAAATCTGCTTTCATGAATCTTTCCAATTGTCAAAAATTTAATGTGTTTGTGAGTGAAAATTCAGATACAAATAAAATATCTCTAAAGACTCGCTTTTGTTTATCATTAAATTACACCACTTAGCATCCTCTATAATTTACCTTGACTTTCAGTTAACCTGAATTATATTTATGAACATTCTCACTTTTAAATATTCTAAAAGAACGTTTTTATTCCTGTGTCTAAATACTTTTGCAAAATAAAAAAAAAAAAAAAAAAAAAATCTTTACATTTGCCTTGATAAAGTCCATCCGAGGACAAAACACATCAGCTAATATGCACACACACACACACACACATATATATATATATATATATATATATATATATATATATCAAGAACTTTGTCCTTGAAGTGGGTTTAACCTAACAAAATACTGTAATGTAAACAAAGAATTGTTTTTCTTTCAAATCCTGCAAAGGGAGCTGAACATATTTTCTGTGTGCCTTTCCCAGCAAGATTAGTCCTGTTTTGTGTAGGTTGTGTTTTTATCATGTAGTCTATGCAAGGAATTTAAGATTACAATTGCCATAAACATTGCACTATGCCTTAGGGTGAGAACAAATGTTATTTTACATTTAAAATTTTTATTTTTAGTTCATTTGGGAGACTTATTCTTTTTTGAATTTCTCATTTCTGTTATCAACTGTTTTACACACACATACACACATTCCTCTTGCTTTGAAGAAATAATTAAACATTTTTTTAATGTTTTTTTTTCTCAGTTCTTTTAGAAAAACATCCAGCATTTCCAAGATTGAGTTCTGTATACAGACAGAAAATTAATACCATATTGCCTAAAGATGATCATAAAATGTTTTTTTTTTTTCTTTTTCTTTAATCTAGTTCTAAGAAAGCAGTGACATGAGCTTTTCTATTTTTTTAGTGTTGTTCAATTTATAACCACCAACTATTTTTCTTGTCTTTCAGGACCTTGAATTTCATGGGGTTATGCGATTTTTCTTTCAAGATGCTGGTGCCAAAGTTGCAACCAAATGCATTCGAGTTGCAAGCACAGCTACTGCGAAAGAAGTTGTGGATGTCCTGGTTGAGAAATTTCATCCGGATATGAGGATGTTGACAATGAATGATTACAATCTCTATGAAGTTCATGTCAATGGAGGTAAGTTTGAAAAAAAAAAAAAAAAAAAAAATTTTTTTTCTTTTTGTAAACCAGTTCCTTTTTTGGTATTTACCATTATGAAATGTTGATTCTTTTTTTATCTTTTCCTTAATTTAGGTTTTAATGATTGACAAAAAATATTTATTTCTTGTATTGTTACTATTGTTATCTATTCAGTTTATTTCCTTCCTTGTTGCATGCCATACACCATCTACAGTCTGTAAAATGGCTCAGTCAAAATGTGATAAATATGATTGTCAAAGAATTCACTTGTCTGAACAATTCCTGAAGTTATAGTTGTTAATTCTTTATAAAATTACTGTTAATGAACAACCCATTTTTCTTATTTTCCTGACATCTTCATTACTGGTTCAAGTTCAATGCTGCAATCTCTCTTAATATGAAAATTATTTTTTTTGCTTGGTATTTCTTTTCAGTACAAAATGGCATGAATATATTAAAATCAAATTTTAATTTCTACAATTTTGTGAAAATATTCATTTTAGAAATTAAAAATTTAATTGATCAAATATTGAAACTATTTTAAGTGAATTCAAAACAATGTATCCTGGTATACACTAGTATCCATTGGCAGATCTAACATTTTGCTTGGCAAAAAGTTATCTACAGAGTACTAATGGTTAAAGAACTTTCTTACATTCAACAATAAAATTGTCTAGAAAAAAACATCTTCATTACTCATACAGAAAATATAACTAATTCAATTGTAAAATGACTTAAATATTACAGAGGATCTTTTTGAAAGTACAAATAATCTAGTAATATGAATCTTGATGGTAATTTGCTGGTAAGACATTTCTGTACCTATTTTGTTTCTCTTTTTCTTTTTACTATTATCAAAGTACATGATTAAAAGTTTGATAAGAAACTCGGTTTTTAATACTTAGTAATATTGCTTCAACTTGTGCCTTTTGCTTAAGTCTTGTTGAGTAACTGTTTCTACACATTCAATTATAATTTGTATTCAGAGAACATGATACATTGGCTTTCCATTTTGTATGCTAACCCAAAAAGCTAGCAAGTTACTCACTTTTTAATCATAGTTGGGGCATGAAATACTCCAGAGCAAACATAGGTGAATGGAAAGAAAAACAATTCTCATAGAAGGAAAGAAAGAACATATTGTCTTGTGAAGATGAAAAAGGGGGGAAACAAATCTTCCAATGATATGCTATAAACAAAAACAAATCTTTATTTTGTTACATTCTTTAGATATAGGCACATTTTTATTTTTATTTTGGTATATAAAATTAGACTGTGATATTGAATATTTTTCTGTAAGTGTGTTTGCTTAGCTATTTTAAGCAAGTCATAGATTTATACTTAAAATGTCATAAAAATCAGAATTAAGTTTGATATCTGAAAGAAGCAGAAAGAGGATATTTAATAGAAAGTCAAAACTAAATCAAGAATCACAAAAATTTTACAATTAAAAGAAAGCAATTAATCTACAATAATGTGTTTGCTAGAATGATGATTGTAATTTATTTTCACAGATGGTTAAAACATTTGATCAGGTTGAAACATGTCACAAGGAAGATAAACTACACTAACAAGTGAATGTGAATATTCACTGTCAGGATACATGGGGTCAAGTTGCTTGCTTGCCTTTTTTTTTTTTATCCTGACAGCCTTATGATTTGAATCTAATCTATTAGGTGCACAATGTAAACGGATACTATGAAACTTAAATGACAATAATTTGCAACTCCTTTTCATATGTATTTTTGCCTCCATTATTGTATGGTAAATATTATCTAAGGAAAAAGAAATCTGCCATTATTATAAAACAAGATTTCCCTTGCTTTGATGAACTGTGATAAAATATCTCGCCTACTGAACAATAAGTATTGATAATATATCAGTTTTTAGGATCTGTGGGTGGTGTAATGAATAGTGGCTCAGAATGAGAAATCTGAGCTGAGTTCGAATTCCAATCAGGTTCGTAACATTCACTTACGTGCATGAATTCATTTCTTCTTCCTCCAGCTATAGGTTAAATAGTAGGACTTGTATCTGGAAAATACTTATTCTCAACAATATTGTTAATGCCATATGCAGCTGCAAAAGAAACTTACAATTCAAAATGCTTTGGCTTTATACAACCAACAAAGGGTTGATAGATTATATATATATATATATATATATATATATATAAAGCAGTCTTTAACCAATGTGTTTATTTTTATTTAATTTTTTTTTTTTTTTTTTGTATACAGCTTATCAACTATTTGTGGGTTATTTAAATCCAAAACACATTTTGGATTATAAAAATGATTCTTTTTTGTGAGCGAATATTACATTAATAATTTTTTAAAAAATAGCAATGATTTTTTTCCAGATAAGTCCTATTAGTTAACCCATAGCTGGGGGAGGAGAAATCGATCAGTCTCCAACTGATTTTTTTTTTGTGTTGATAATGACAATGACCCAGCCAGAAGATTACACATTTGTTTTGTAAACACAAGAAAGAGATACTTAAGTTCTATTTAAAAATAAGCATTAGAGAAAGTATGTGCATTGAAGTAATTTTGATGGATTGATCAAATACTGTGAAGTGCTAATCATTAGTTCAGTCTTCATTGGCTGCTTAAATACTTGGTGTAGCTTTCTTAAGTTTTTATTTAAGATGTTTGCATGGACTAATATCAGTTCAGGAAGGGAAGAGGGGAATGACCCAAACCATAAGATAGAATTTTAATGGGTTACACAATCACTGCATAAATTCAAGTGAACAAAAAAAAATGTATCCACTGTAACTATAACAGATGTCAAGAAAAATTATGTACTTTTAAAGTTTTTTTTTTTTTTTTTTTTTTTTTTTGTGTGTGTGGGGTGTTGTTACTTCTAAGAGACTTGGTTTGAATCAATGAATACCTTCTTAAAAGTCCTTGCTTATTTTTTTCTTGCTATTCGTCATTTGTAGATAAAGAGAAATACAAATGTGGATGATTTTGATGAGTGCTTCAAGTTATTTAAGTTTGCTGATACTGCTATGAAAATTCCTTAATTTAGATGAAAACAAATATTTGGAAATATGTCTAATTTATGGAACTCTATTTAAAAATAGTATAAAAAAATTTTCATCCTGCCCTCATATTTTATGTTGCCTTTATCATTCAGTATCTGAGGTAAATGTTAGAAAAGTTATGTTAGTTTAGGTTTACTATTTGATGGGGTTATTTTTTAAAAACTTGTTCTTTTTTAACCTTCTTATCTGACTTGGATTTATCATGTGGATTAATCTCTAAATCCTGGTTGACAGTTTAAAATCGCAGTATTTAATAAATCTCTTAGCCCTTTGCTACCTCTAAAATTAATTCTGTTAATCTCCAAGATATTTTCCCTTAGTTGGTTGTTAATCATTTTATGAGGAGGTGCTGAAAAGTTCTTGGCATCACATGCATCAGAATTTGTTCTGGATTCCCTTTTTGGTCAGGCCAAGGACTTTTCAGCATCCTTTTTTTTTTTTTTTTTTTATAAAGATTATATTTATTAGAACACACTTTGAACTTTTATTCTCCTACTCCCCTAACTTAAGTATATGCAAAAGATTCCATCCAAAGAATTGTTTTCCAATTGTGTTTTGCAAAATTGTGCGCATCTAATATTTAAATATATTGTCATAGTCTTTTGCATTATCAACTGATGAGTTTTGTCCTTATAAAAATAATCTTGTTTTCCTGGTGGAATAGATTTTTCTTTAACAAACTGTTTGTTTTGCTTATCTGGTAATTAATATTAGCCATTTCCTTATAAGGAAATATTCTGCATTGATTGAGCAAGCAGCTAGTACTATTATATAATAATAGTATATAATAGTTATAGTATAATATAGTACCATGATATTATAAAATCTTTCTCTTAAAACAATTTTTCAGGAAAATAGCTTTCTCAAGTTCAGTACCAGCTTCCAGAATTTAAGGTTTCTTTCCTAACCTTTTGAAGTTGTGTGGACACTCAATATCTTGATTGTCATTATTTACTCTTCAATTTACATGTTATATTCACTTTAGCTGTTGCTACTGTTGAAAGTTTTCAAGTGATGTGGATTCTGTTATTTGGTACACTTCTTTGTTTGTGATTCTGTAGCACCAGTTCACAAATTTCAAAGTGTGGTCTTCACCAAGATCTATAATTGACCCATTTCAACTATTAATCCTTTGTTTGTAATCAGTTGAAAGTAATTTTAACAGCAGTTTAGCAAAAATGGCTGAAAGAATTTATTTTTGCCTTCGTCTGGTTCTTGTTTACTTTCTTATCATCAATGCTGGTAAATATCTGCTAGTTTTTCAAGGAGACAATATACTCTTAATAGAAATTTACTTTCTTTTGATTGGTTGAAATTTAAGAGAATCATTCTTAAGACATACTGGTATTAATCTCTAGAATGTAATTTGTAATTTCAGTTTTGATTAGAATCTAAAAATTTAATTTACCTTTTGGAAATTTCTCCCCTCTGATAACCTCTTGATAATGATTGCATTTGACAAAATATTAAAAACTACTTTATCTGATATAACTTTTATTTGCATTGTTGATGGTTAAAGTTATGAAAATTAACTTAAAAATCTTTAAAGGATACTGTTAAATTTGATTTTTTTCTTTTTCTTTTTTTCTTCTCTTTTTTTTCCTTCACTTTTTTTTTTTTTTCTCTTTTTCTTCTTTTTTTCTTCTCTTTTTTTTCTCTTTTTTTTTCTTTTTTTTTTTTTTCTTCTTTTTTTTCTTCTCTTTTTTCTTTTTTTTTCTTTTTTTTCTTCTCTTTTTTCTTCTTTTTTTTTCTTCTCTTTTTTTCTTCTTTTTTTTCTTTTTTTCCTTTTTTTTTTTTCTTCTTTTTCTTCTCTTTTTTTCTCTTTTTTTCTTCTTTTTTTTTTCTTCTTTTTTTTTTCTCTTTTTTTCTTCTTTTTTTTCTTCTTTTTTTTCTTCTTTTTTCTTCTCTTTTTTTCTTTTTTTTCTTCTTTTTTTTTCTTCTTTTTTTC